GGCATGTACCTTGGTTGCGGGCACATCCCCAGTAGGAGGTGTGCAGGAGGCAGCTGGTCGGTGTTTCTCTCTCATTGATGTTTCTAACTCTCTATCCCTCTCCCTTCCTCTCTGTAAAAAATCAATAAAATATATTTTTAAAAAAGAAATACGAATGGGTTGAAGAATCATGGGGAGTGATGGACCGCATAGGGAGTACAATCAGTATTCCAGGTGTCATGTCAGTTGGTACAAGACTTATTGGGATGGCCACTTAGTAAGTTCTGAAATGTCTAATCGCTGGGTTGTACATCTGAAATGTACAGCGTTGTATCTCAACTGTAACTGAAAAATAAAAAAGGATTAAATGGCCAAAAAAAGTAAAAATATTCTTTAAAAAGTGAGGCAAGGAATTTATATTTTATTTTTTAGTCTTTATACTTCGGATTCTAAATAATTAAACTGAGGTACTTTTGAAATTATTCCAGATGCACTACTGAAGTTGAAATATACTTTCTTTCCTAGGATGGAATCTATAGAGAAAATGGAGTCTGATTTTAAAAACTGCCATATGTTTCTTGTCACCATTTTAAACAAAGCCGTCTGTAGAGGGTCCTTTCCCCATCGTGAGTATACATGCTAACATCTTACTGCTTTTCTGTCTTCTTGTACAAAGGCTACACGTTCCTAATTTTGATACTGATCTCATGATGAATTGTTCCAAACCTGGAAAGCCTAGCAGCAGCTGGATCATGCTTTGAATTGTGTTGTGTGTGTGTGTGTTTTAGTTTTGTTTCATTTTCAGAATTACTGTGGGATGAATGACTATCAAAGATAAAACAAGGTTAGTAAAGTTTTTGCTTTCTCGTATGTCATTTGGTACACCAGTGGATTCTGAAACTATTGCTTAGAAAAGCAGAAGGCAAAATAGATTTTAGTCATACTTTCCTTTTTTAAATATATTTTTCTTGATTTCAGAGAGGAAGGGAGAAAGAGAGATAGAAACATCAATGATGAGAGAGAATCATTGAATGACTGCTTCCTGCACACCCTTCACTGGGGATTAAGCTCGCAACCCAGGCATGTGCCCTGACCAGGAATCAAACCATGACCACCTGGTTCATAAGTTGATGCTCAACCACTGACACACACCGGCTGGGCTCAGTAACTATCATGTGCAGCTTTTGTACTATTCCTTTTCAAAAGATGGGGGAGGGTTTCTTTAACAATTTTAAAACTCCTGACAAACACTGAAGCAGGCAGAAGTCTGTAGGGTGAGTCAGGGAGGAGAGTGATGCTTAATTTTCAGAAACAAAGGACTAAGTCATATTTATTTGCGCAGCTTTTGGGGGAAAATATGCAGGGTTAATCTCTTCCCTGTGTCTGCATATTCAAATTGCGATCCAAAACTACAGCGGGAAGGCTGGGGAGGGTTGGGGGTGGGAGAGGTGGGGGGTAAAAAATCAACCAAAGGGTTTGTATGCATGCATACGAGCATAACTAATGGACATAAGACACTGGGGGGCGGGGGAGGCTAGGGGACTGTCTTGGGCGGGGGGAAAAAATGGACACATATGTAATAAGAAATGCTCAATAGTTGACTCGATGGTGTTTAAAACGAGAAATTTTTTAAAATATATTTTTCTTGATTTCAGAGAGGAAGGGAGAAAGAGAGATAGAAACATCAATGATGAGAGAGAATCATTGAATGACTGCTTCCTGCACACCCTTCACTGGGGATTAAGCTCGCAACCCAGGCATGTGCCCTGACCAGGAATCAAACCATGACCACCTGGTTCATAAGTTGATGCTCAACCACTGACACACACCGGCTGGGCTCAGTAACTATCATGTGCAGCTTTTGTACTATTCCTTTTCAAAAGATGGGGGAGGGTTTCTTTAACAATTTTAAAACTCCTGACAAACACTGAAGCAGGCAGAAGTCTGTAGGGTGAGTCAGGGAGGAGAGTGATGCTTAATTTTCAGAAACAAAGGACTAAGTCATATTTATTTGCGCAGCTTTTGGGGGAAAATATGCAGGGTTAATCTCTTCCCTGTGTCTGCATATTCAAATTGCGATCCAAAACTACAGCGGGAAGGCTGGGGAGGGTTGGGGGTGGGAGAGGTGGGGGGTAAAAAATCAACCAAAGGGTTTGTATGCATGCATACGAGCATAACTAATGGACATAAGACACTGGGGGGCATGGGAGGCTAGGGGAGGGTCAAGGGGAGAGAAAAAAAGGAGACATATATAATACTCTTTGTAATACTTTAAGCAATAAAACAATTTTAAAAAAATTGTGATCCATTCACTAAGAATAGCTGAATTGCCTGGCCCATGGGGCTCAATGGTTGAGCGTCAACCTATGAACCAGGAGGTCATGGTTTGATTCCCGGTCAGGGCACATGCCCGAGTTATGAGCTTGATCCCCAGTAGGGGGCATGCAAGAGGCAGCCGATCAATGATTCTCTCTCATCATTGATATTTCCCTTCCTCCCTCTCTGAAATCAATAAGGATAATTTTTTTTAAAAAGAAATGTCTTAATCTTGGAAATATCTGCATAATTTAGTATATTTTTAAAAAAAGAACAGCTGAATGCTCTGTAAAACACTGTGTTAGAAATATTGATGCATTTGTCCATTTTCTTTAAATATATTTTTATTTATCTCAAAGAGGAACTGAGACAGACAGAAACATCAGTGATGAGAATCACTGATCAGCTGCCTCCTGCACACCCACACTGGGGATTAAGCCCACAACCCTAGCATGTGCCCTGACTGGGAATTGAACCATAACCTCCTGGTTCATAGGTCAATGCTCAACCACTGAGCCACGCCAGCTGGGCCATTTGTTCATTTTTTAATTGGGTGATTGTAGGTTAGAACTTGGCATTTTGTTTTGACCGGACTCCAGAGTTTCTGACACGTTGAACAAATACGATTTATTTCGTGAAATGTCAGATTTGTTTGTTTTCAAAATTCAAATACAGTGAATAGAAATAAATCATACTTTTTCCATTTGTATTTAATAAATGAAGATTATCATCTTTATTATACATTACAAATAATCACCATTTTAATTAAAAATGGGAAATGTGGCCCTAGCAGGTTTGGTTCAGTGGATAGTGTCAGCCTGCGGACTGAAGGGGCCTGGGTTCTATTCAGGTCTAGAGCATATGCCTGGATTGCAGACTCAGTCCCCAGTGGGGGGTGTGCAGGAGGCAGCCAATAAATAATTCTCATTGTTGATGTTTCTATCTCTCTCTCCCTTTTCCTTCCTCTCTGAAATCAATAAAATTATAAAAATGGAAAATGTTTTTAAATACTTTTCAGTTTTGAATTGATTAAAGCCTTACTCATACATTTTCAAAAAATTAAACCGATTTTTTAAACTTTATTCTTCCCACAGTGGAGTCTCTAGCACTGTCCCTCATGGCTGGCATGGAGCAAAGTTAAATACCTTCATGTGATACATACCTCGGACTTCATCTCCATACATGTACAGCTCCATCACATGCAGCGAGAAATCAGAATCATTTGTTTTTGTCTCTTTTTTAAAAACTGTTCTCTACTGTCTAGACAAGTGGGTTTGTAGGTGTTTTCTCTGAAGCTTATTAGATATCGTATAGGGTTATGTGTATAAAATTGTATCAATAAATAATACAAAGTGTACATAGGCTATTTACACTTATATTTCCTACTGTCAGCTATAGATTTATGGCATTGTTACCTTTAGATGTGAATGACATTTTTGAAAATGTAATTGTTAATATTAAAAATACAGCACCTTACATTTTTTTATTCTTTTGCTGTCACAGTTTTTTGTATAGTTTTACATGTTGTCTTCCCTAAAGCTTGTCTTAGATTTAACTGTCTAAAAATGTATTTTTATGTGCCTGAGAAGTTCCAGAATGGAAAATAGCTTCAATCAATATCAGTTATGTGAAGGCCAACTTCACGTAGGAGCAGCTGTTGGTCCATACTGTCGTTTGGCCTTTCTGAGCCTTTTTTGTCAGCTAAAATCATGCTTACCGTCCCATTTTCCCACGCTTCCTTCTTGTGCTCTCTGTACATCTTTAGCATTTATGACTGAGCACTATATTTACTGCTTAGTTTTTTTACAAACACCACTGACTCCAAACTGCCTCAGAGCTGAGTGCCAGGATGTCCTTGTCCTCAGACACTGTGACAGGCATCCTGCGGCAGACAGCAGTGTCTACAAGCAGCTCTTCCTGGGAGCCAGCCTGGCTCCGAGGCTTTCCTCTGAAATCGGAAGAAGTTCACTGAGGAGATCTTCAAATGCCAGGGGCTGCACAGCTACTTCCAGGTCTGAACCTCCCACTAAGAGACAGGCAGCCTCCGGGACCTGTCCTGCACATCAGTCCTGTGGCTGTTGATGGGAGCTCGAGCACCATACAGCCATCACAGAGGAGTCGACGTAAAATTCTTTATATGTCACAAAACTCATCACATCCAACATACAAAACATACCTCTTTCATAAACTGAATTAGCCTCTGACGCCTACAGCTATCGCAAATGGTAAAACAGTCTTAGCTCCTACCCAAAATGTCACACGGAAGGCCTGTTGACCTCAGTTTCTTTTACCCAGTAAGTTCATCATGTCCACCTTTTAACAAAAAAAAAATACAGAGTGTACTAAAAGACAAAAAAATCAGAGCAATCATCAGACGTAGACTGGGCAGCGATGTTGGAATTACCAGACTAGGAATTTAAACAACTAGGATTAATCTACCAAGGTCTCTAATGTAGACAGTGGACACATGAAAGAACAGCTGGGCGATGTGAGCAGAGAGACGGAAGCTCAGCAAAGACATGGTTGAACTGAACATCAAATTGACATTCCTAAATTATTTAAAGTGTACGCCTCAAGCTTACAAAACATTCCTCAAGAAAAGGCACATTTTTAGGCCATAAAACACCTTGACAGTTTTTTAAAGATGGGAGTCATACAAAGTATGCTCTCAGACCACAGCTTCGGGGGTGGGGGATGGGGGGGCAGGCTTGTGACCAGAGGCTGGAGTAACCCCTGGTTTCCACAGGAGGATGCGATTGGCTTGCTTGGGTAATGCTGAGGACCGGCAGGAGGACAATTTGTGAGGTGGGGGATGTTTGGGGAACTAGCGGGATGGGGACATATCTGGAGAGCTAGAGGCAAATGTAATCTACACAACAAACATTCCTGGTGCACTATGTGCAGGTGACCAGTGAGACTATGTCACCAGGTACCACTGTATGCCTACTGTATAAGTCCACCCTAGTAAGGCTAGCAGATCTACCTAATACGCAGCAACAGCAACACAGAGGGGCAGCCAAAATGGGGAGACTGAGAAACATGCCCCAAATGAAATAGCAAGAAATCTCCAGAAAAAAACTAAATGCAATGGAAGCAAGCAATCTACCAGAAAGTTCAAGGCAATGGTTATAAGGATGCTCAAAAACTTAATGAGAATTTCAATAGCATGTAAAAGGACATAGATACCATAAAAAAAGAAAAAGAAAAAGAAAGAATACAATATCCACTCTAACCAGTTTGGCTCAGTGAATAGAGCATTGGCCCACAGATTGAAGGATTGGGGGTTCGATTTCAGTGGAGGGCACAGACCTTGGTTACACGCTCGATCCCCAGCCCTGTCAGGGTGCACGCAGGCGGCCACCAATTGATGTGCCTCTCTCACAAAGATGCTTCTCTCTCCGTCTCGCTCTCCTTTCCACTCTCTCCAAAAATCAAGGGAAAAAATATCTTCAGGTGAGGATTAGCCAAAAAAATAATAAATACATATAATAATACAATATCTGAAATGAATACATTGCAAAAATAAACTGTAGGTTTGATTGAGCATAAAATTGAATTAGCGATTTGGAAGACTAGCTAGCAGAAAAGGCCCAATCAGAGGAGCAAACATAAAAATAAGAACTTAGGCTAGTTTAAGGAACATTTGGGACAACGTAAAGTACAGCAACATCGACATCCTATCTAATAAAAGGGTAACATGCAAACTAACCATCACTCCGTCACAAACATGGTGGCACCAGTCCTCTCAACCCTGCCAGAGTCCCCCAGTCCTGGGGGTGGAGGGGGTGGGGGAGGGCAGCCACTGAGTTGGGAGCGTGAGCAGCCTGGCAGAATGCTTGCATTGTGACCCTGGCGATGAGGCAAGCATTCCGCACCCGGCCACAGAGGGCCTCTGGCCAGGCCAGGCATGGAACGCTTGCGTCATTGCAGGCTAGGCTGAGGGACCCCACCCCCTGATGCATGACTTTCATGCACTGGGCCTCTAGGGAGGTGATAAGAATGAGAAAAAAAGAGCAAGAGATTGATAACTTATTTGAAGAAATTATGACTGAAAATTTCCCAAACCTGGTGAAGGAAAAAGACACACAAAGTCCAGAAGTCCTAAACATGATACTAGACCTGATGGATTTAATCGATATTTTCAAAACATTTAATCTAAAACAGCAGAAAATAAATTCTGTTCAACTACATATGAAACATTTTCTAGTATACACAACATGTTAAGATACAAAACAAATCTCAATAAATTTAAGGAGATTGAACTCATATCAGGCATCTTCTCTGATCACCATGGTATGATATGATACTGGAAATTAATTACAAGAAGAAAAAAACCTGAAAAACAGAAATTCGTGGAAGCTCAATAACATCTTACTAAACAATAAGTGGGTTGGCAATGAAGTCAAGGGGAAAAAAAATCAAAGATACTCTGAGACAAATGAAAATGAGAAAAGTGCCCTGGCCAGTTTTGCTCAGTGGATAGAGAGCATCAGCCTGTGGACTGAAGGGTCCCAGGTTCGATTCCTGGTCAGGCCACATGCCCGGCTTGTGGGCTCCATCCCTGGTAGGGTGTGTACAGGAGGTAGCCAATCCATGATTCCCATAATTGATGTTCCTCTCCCTCTCCCTTCCTCTCTGAAATTAATAAAAAATAATAAAAAATAAAAAGAGCACCTGGAAAAAAAACTTAAAAAAAAAAAGAAAATGAGAAAGCAACTCAAAATCTATGGGACACAGCAGAAGCAGAGTTAAAAGGCATTCAAAGCATTTTAGGCCTACTTTAAGAAAGAAAAAACATCTTCAGAAAATAATCTAACCTTACACTTAAAGGAACTAGAAAAAGAACAGCAAACAAAGCCCAACGTAAGTAGAAGAAAGAATATAATAAAGGTCAGAGTGGAAATAAATATATAGAATCCAAAACACACTCTCGCCACTTTGCTCAGTGGATAGAACATGGCCTGTGGACTGAAGGGTCCCAGGTTCGATTCTGGTCAAGGGCACATGCCTGGGTTGTGGGCACGATCCCCATTAGGGGGTGTGCAGGAGGCAGCCAATCAATGGTTCTCTCATCACTGATGTTTCTATCTCTCACTCTCCCTTCCTCTCTGAAATCAATAAAAATATATTTAAAAAAAATAAAACACAACACAAAGGATAAATGAAACCAAGAGCTGTATCCTTGAAATGATAAAACCGATAAACATTTTAAACAGACTTATCTAGAAAATAAGAGAAAGTACCCAAATAAATAAAATCAGAAATAAAAGAAAAATAACAAATTGCACTACAGAGATACAAAAGATTATAAGAAAATATTACAAACAAGTATATGCCAACTAATTGGATAATCTGAAAGAAAGGGATAAATTCCTAGGACAACCTTCCAAAACTGAATCATGAAACAGAAAATCTGAACAGTCATGGGGATGTAAAGTACAGCATAAGGAATATCGTCAATATTATAAGGCAGATGAGATTCCCCCTCATAGGTTCAGTCATTCCTGATAACACGCAGGTCCCTTGATTTCCACTGCTCATCTCTGCAACATTCACTTAAATGCCTCTTAAATACCCCTTTTCTCCAAGAATTCTTTTTCTTTTTTCCTTTCTTATTATATAGATAGATAGACAGATGATAGATAGATAGATAGATAGATAGATAGATAGATAGATAGATATACACACACACATATATCTTCTCAAAGTAATCACTTCTATGGCCATGGCTTCCATTACTTTTTACTTTTTAAAATATATTTGTATTGATTTCAGAGAGGAAGGGAGAGGGAGAGAGATACAAACATCAGTGATGAGAGAGAATAATTAATTGACTGCCTCCTGCACACCCCACACTGGGGACCAAGCCTGAAACCCAGGCATTGCCCTGACAGGAGTCAAACCGTGACCTCCCGGTTCATCAGTCAATGCTCAACCACCAAGCCACACCAGTTGGGCTTCAATTACTTTTTATAAAATGTAGTGACAATACAACTTTAAATGTTTTATTAACAGTTTTATTTTTACATAGGATGCCTCATTTAATAAACCATGGATTCCAAGTTGCGCCATGAAATCAATCACAAAAAAATGTGATATTCTTAGCATGTGAACTTCAAGAAATTTTCCTAATCACTTTCTTTGGTTTGATCTAATGTGAGCTATTTTCAAAAATATAAGTTGTGATATCACAAAATGAACATAGCCAACTTTCAACCAGAGAGCTCCATTTTGATGTTTCACTTAACAGAGACAATATCCTCTGCAAACCTATTCCTCCTCCTGCATTCTCTATCTCTAGTTACCTACTCAATCCCCAAGCCATAAACCTAATGGCAATGTTGGCCTCACCTCTTCACTTCTCTCTCCACATCTAGTCACCAAGTAATTCTATTCTACTTCCCAGATGGTCCCAAATCCTTTCCTTTATTTTTTTTAAAATATATTTTATTGATTTTTCACAAAGAGGAAGGGAGAGGGATAGAG